AAAAAAAAAAAGGCAACCTGAAACACGTCTGTCCTTTCCTGTCCGCTGGCCTGGCCTGAGGGTGGTTGCTGGGCCAAACCCTGGACACCTCTCCCCTGGCCAAGAACTGCCAAGGAGGGCAGCAGCCACAGTTAGTGAGCCCCCAAGCACAGGGGGCTCTAGCTGGCATGACCCCACACTGACGTCACAGCTGAGAAGCGTCAGCTTACAGCTCAGAAATGGGTTCCTATTTGCGACAAACAGACTTTGAGGCTCCTGGAGCTCCTTTGAGGCAGTGTTGCTAAACAGTGAGGAGCCAGGGTTCTGGGTCAGAGCACTCTGGATTTCTTCGCCCGCGCTGGGGCATGCCGTTTACCCCAGGAAGCCCAGTTTCCCCGTTGGAAAGTCCTCGTGAGGCTTCAGGGAGCTAGCACGTGTCAAGCACTTCGCTAAGACCTGGCGGGTGGTTCCTGTGAGCTCTTCAGAGGAGGCTGACCTCAGGAACATGAGCTTAGCTAGTGCCTCAGAGAGCTCTGGCCAGAGAAAGAGGTGGCAAGGGCTGTCAGGAGTAGGAGCATGCTCTTCAGATGGACAATCGGTGGCGGAATCAGGAGGGCTTCTTATAGGAGGGGTCATTTGGACTCTTGGGGTTGAAAGCTCAACAATTTGATTCACTATGTGCCTTCGGTGTTCCATGAGCAAGACAGGAAAAGGAACCCTGCCCCAGGGCGTCCTTTTAGTTCTAGGAGATGGATGATACACAAATGAACAAGTGGTTTCAAGTAGGTCTGTGAACGGAATAAACAGGAAGGTGTGAGGGGGAGCCAGGCTGGGGGTTGGAGGAGCCTCCAAGGTTTGAGCAGAGGCCTGGAGGATCAGGGACCAGATATGGAAAAACATGGTGCAAAACTTTTCAGGCAAGGGGCCAGGAAGGCTGGTTTCCACCTTTTGGCTCTTGTGACTGACTAGTTCTGGTGCCCTTGGTGTCCCAGGTATGAGGAATGCTTGCTTCCGTTCTTTCGGTACTATCCCTAAGAGTGGACTTGCCGGGCCCGGTTTTGTTTTAACTTTGTGAGGGACAGCAGAACCGATTCCATCCTGGTTGTCGGTCTGCATCCAGGTGGAAGGCGGTGGTCACGCGGGCAGGCAGGAGGCTGCCCGTGCAAAGAGATGCTGAGGAGGGAGCCGTCCTGAGGGTGGAGCTTGATCGAACTTGCTGTTAGGTTGGTCAGCGCAAGAGAGGAGTGAGGATGGCGTTGACCTTTGGCTGACGGGTGGTGCCATTTCCTGAGATGTGAAGAAACTTCTTGGTATATGTGTGTGGGTGGTGGTAGGTGGGAGAGGTGGGACTCGAGTACCTTTTTGTTTTTCTTTTTTAGTTTTTTAAAAGGATTATTTTATTTAAATGTATGTATGTATGTATTTGTTTAAATTTGACCAGAGAAGGCCAGAGAGAGAGAGAGACAGAGAGAAAGTGAGAAAGCAAGCCACCAGGTCCGGGACTCAAACCACCGACGGCCGTGTGGGAATCTAGCTCTCTTAACCACCATGCCACTTGCTGGCCCCCATTTTTAGTTTTCTATAGGACATGTGTGCTGGGGGATTGGGGGACGAGACACAGAGAGAGAGAAAGTGAGAAATCCCTCCCTGAGGAGATGGTCATGCTGCTATCCCTTCTCTTCCATTGTTTCCTTGGAATTTGGGGCATGCACACACCCATGTCCAGAGTGATTTTCAAGCCACTGGGTCTGGGACGGGAACCATGTAGTTGGGCATGTGGGATCCAGTCACCTTCACCTCCACGCCACCAGATGGTCCCTTGCGTCTCATTTTTGTTGGAAATGCTCATGTTATGTTTAAAATGCTTGTTGGGCACATCATGGGGACATGAACAAGGAGGCAGTGGGAGAGATAAGGGGGCCCAGTCACTGTCCTCCTGGTGGAATTTAAATCCACAGACTTGGCTGATGTCCTGGGAAGAGAGGCAAAGTGTGAGCCTGGCCCTGGGAGGTTATTTACAATCAGGCAGAGGAGCATGAGAGACTGCGGAGCAGCCGGGTCAGCTGGAGGAGTGTGTGGCATCTCAGAAGCCAAGAGAAGGGAGGGGCCAAATGTATAAAAGGCTGTCATGAGGTCAAGTAAGGTGACAAGAGAAAAGTGACCAGTCTGGTTGGGATGACTGTTGGTGGGATGGTCAAGGCCGTTGGAGACCTTTACAAGAGCAGTTAGGTGGAGCAGAGAGGTCAAATGCCAGGTCAGAGTGGAAGAAATGACATGAGGTAAGGAAGTGAGCCATGGACTGTTTGCGTGATGCATTTGGTGTTGAGTGGGGGCCTGAAGTGAGCCAGCAACTGGAGGAGCCAAGGAAGGGCTGTCGTGTGCCACTAGGATCAACCCAGCAGACGAGGAAAAAGAATGATGCAGGAGTGAGAAGGGGCAATGGAAGCTTCTTGGGAGGTGACAGGCAGGTGGAGAGTGGCCTTAGGTGGGAGTGGAGGAAGCTCATCTCCATAAGAGAGACAGACAGCCAATGCGCTGCAGATGGGTTGGTAGCTCGGGTGGTGGGAAGACAAGGGCCTCTCGTCTGCTTCTACCATGAGGTGAAATTTTGAGTGGAGAGTGAGAATGGGAAGGGTGCTGATCAGTCAGGATAAATTTAGTTGAAGGTAACAGAAAACGTAATACTAGTTTTTAAAATGGCAGGTACTAGGACTGGCAGATGGTGTAATGGCTATGTTGCTAGACACCCATGTAGTTGACCACAGTTCGAGTCCCGGCTCCTTGCACTGGGTGCGTGTGCATGTTTGCCCAAAAATCCTAAGAGGAGAATGAAGGAGAAAGGATTGCAGCGTGGCTAAACCCCCTGGGGGGATAATTTCTCTCTGTCTCTCTCTGTCTGTCTGGAGAGCACACATGCCCTATAGCAAAAATTTCTTCTAAAAAATCTATTTAAAAATTAAAATTATGGGAGCAGCAGTTGGCATAATGGCTATGTTGCTGGACTCCCATGTAGTCGACTGTGGTTTGCGTCCTGGACCCAGTGGCTTAAACTCAAGCCGGGTGCGTGTGCATGCGTGCCCAAGATCCTAAGAAGAGAATGGAGGAGAAAGGATTGCAGTGTGGCCACCCCCCCAGGGCATGATTTCTCACTTTCTGTCTCCCTGGTGAGTGCACACACCCAATAGCAAAAAATCTC